GTCCACGCTCAGGCCTGGGGAAGGGCGGGGGCCGCAGGCTGAGGCCTCCCCACAGGGGCTCCATTCTGACAGCTGCTCCCACCCTCTGACCAAAAGCCCAGGTATGCCACGTGGCCGCCTCTCACCTGTGATGCCAGGGGGCAGAGGCAGCTGCACCGTGACCGGCCGGAGGAAGCCGGAGGGGCCGCTCTGGGAGAGGCACAGCAGGGGACTCACGGCCGCCTCGGGCTCCTCCAGCAGGGCCCGCAGCTCTCTGCCTGCCATGCGCACCACCTGGGCAGACAGGCCGCCTGAGCACTCACCTGTGTGCTGAGGCACCGCCCGCCACCCTGGGCACCGTCCTATCCGTACCTGCATTCGGACTTGACGGGGCTCCTCGGTGGCTCCAGGGGGGAACGTGACCTTGACCCCAGGATGCCCCGAGGACCACAGCAATGTCCCCTCTGGTGGCACCAGGCAGGCGTTGGATGCAGGGCGTGAAACCACAAGGAACCACGAGAAGTGGGGGACCTGGCAGTGAGCCCAGAGCCGCTGGGCATGGGGATGGGGTCAGAGGGAACAAGGTCAGAGGGGTGTTGGGGTCAGGGGCGGACAGGGTCAGGCAGACGGAAACAGCCCTCACCTTGGGGGCTGCTTCTTCCAGGCGGGTCTCCAGGTCGCTCCAGCTGTCGTCACTCAGGGTCCTCACCACCACCTCACGGCAACGGCGGGCCCGTGGGGGCACACAGGGCAGCCACAGGTCCACCTCCTGCCAGGCAAGGGTGGTGTGAGCGGTAAGGCCATGCCTGGGCCCTCCTCACCTGCCCCAGCCCCACTCTGGCCATGCCTGCTGGAAGGCCACCCCGTGGGGCTGCAGCTCCAGGACACCGCTGAGCAGGGAGTCATGGGGACCCAGGGGGACGAGGCGAGGCTCCGGCAGCCACAGGCGGTAGTGGATGGTGACAGAGGTAGTAGTGGCCCCGGCGGGGAACTGCAGGCGGACACCACAGGCCAGGGTCACAGAGCAGCCTTGGGGGGTCACGAGGAAGCTGAGCAAGGACAGGGTGGGCATCAGGTCAAAGGAAGAAGGGCCTGACTGTCTAAGCCTGGCACCCTGGGGGACTCTAGGAGACCCGGGAGCATGGGTAAGGCGTCCGGCATGGACAGGGTGGCAAGGTGGGCAGCTGTTCCTCTAGTCCCGCCCTCTCCCACCTGCACACCTGTCCAGATCTGAAGTCAGGAACAGTCTGGGCATTTCCAGGACCACAGGTGTCCCTGTGGAAGGGCAGGCAGGCTGTTAGGATGGTGACTGTTCCTGTGTCCTGTCTGCGGCCTGCCCCTCTCCAGCATCAAGCCTACCTGGGGGACTGGGGGAGTCTGGCAGGGCCTCGCCCAAGGGATTCCCCTGCAGGCACACAAAGGGGGCGTCTAGCAGCTCGGGGGGCACTTCCCGGAGCTGGTTGTCCCTCAGGTCCAGCCGGGTGAGGAGCGGGAGGCGGGCCAGGCCGGCGGGCACCGAGGCCAAGAGGTTGCTGTGCAGAACAAGGAGCCGCAAGGAAGGCAGCTCCGCTGTGGGCAGGCGTCCGCTTAGGATGAGCAGAGGACCCCTCAGGGCCACCCTGCCCTGGAGCACCAAGCCAGGCTGGGACGCCCCTGCGAGGGCCTCCTGAGAAGCCTTTTCAGTCACTGCCCCGTGGCTGCCATCGGACAAGCTGGGCAAGCGTGAGCAGGGAGCCTCGGAGGCCAGGGAAGTGGAGGCCAACAAGGGCTGCCTCGGAGGACTGCAGGCTCAAAGGCAGGCCAAGCCTCTGTGTGCAGGGTCCCGGCGGAGGACAAGAGGGGTCCGCAAGCGTGGAAGCTGGGCAGTGGCTGAGGGCACTCCCCAGAAGCTCCCGTGAGCCAAGGAGGGCATGGCTGGTACTCACCGAGGGAGGGCGGGAGGCTCTGCAGCCGATTGGAGGCCAGATTGAGCTCCTCGAGGCTGCTCAGGCCTCCGATCTCAGGGGGCAGGGTGTCCAGGAGATTCTCAGAGAGATCAAGACGCTGCAGGGTGGACAGGGCTCCCAGCGCCGTGGGCAGCGTTTGTAGGTGGTTGTGGGTCACAGAAAGGAAGGTGAGGGCAGAGAGGGCCCCCAGAGCCTCAGGTAGCTCGGAGAGGTGGTTGTGAGAGAGCAGGAGGGCACCCAGGCCACACATCTGCGGGATGCAGGCTGGCAGTGTCTCCAGGCTGTTGAAGCTGAGATCCAGGTGGACCAAGTGGGCCAGGCCACTCAGGCTGGCGGGCAGTGTGGTGAGAGAGCCCCGGAGACAGGCACCCAGTGCATCCCAGTGTTGCCCACCTGGGAAGGTGAAAGGCACTTGTGGCCCTCAGTCCCAGGTCCCAGCTCGGGCCTGCCTGCCAGGGAAGATGCTACATGCAGGGAGGCAGACCTCCAGTTCTGCGCCACCGGGAAAAGGGCAGACAAGTGGAGATGCTGGGGAGATGGGGGGAGGCAGAGGCTGAGACTGAAGGCTCATCTTAGCTGAGAGCCGTCACCCACGACCTGGCCCAGGAAAAACATGCACAATGGAGTAGGCAGGGAGACCCCATCAGGCAGCTCCAGGGTCCAGAGGAAGAGGGCTGGGTACAGCTGTGCAGAGAATAGTGATGGAGGCTGGGACTGGTGTTCGCCTTTGAGGACCAAGAAGCAGAGGCGGGAGCTAGGCATGGGGGTGGGACAGGGATGGGACTCACCTTTGAGGACCAGCGAGCGGAGGTTCGGCAGGCTCCTCGGCACCTGAGCCAGGGTGGTCTCCAGCAGCCGAGGGTCTTCGTGGCCACTCAGCTGCAGGAACTGCACCTCCAGCAGCTGAGGGGTCTGCCCGGCACACAGGTGCAGCAGCTGGTGGCAGCCCCCAGGGTACAGGTCCAAGCTTAGCCGATTCCCCGCCAGGAGAAGGGGTGCCCCGGGACCCGCATCCACAGTATCTGCAGCTTCTCCTGCAGCATCTTCTGCAGCGGCCACCTGGGGCTCCAGCTCCTCCTTCACGCCAGCCATCGCCCACCGGCAGGCCTCGGGGGCCAGACATGTCCCAGCTTGCCAAGCAGGCCTGCTCAGGCAGGGCCCAGAGAGGCTGCAGAGTCAGGGTGAGGAGAGGGGAGGAGTGGGGCTGGACCCTCCTTTCAGTCAGGGGAACAGGGATTCTGGCTCTGGGGAGTCCCCAGGCCAGGCCAGCTGGCCCGCAGATCCCAGAGCCTCGGCTGGACGGATCATACATGGAACGGGGCTGGAGAACGGGACCCCGGGGCTGGGAGGGCAGCAAGCAGTGTGGGCCCTGTGTGCAGAGCCTGGGAATCTGCTTGGGGCGGAGGAGGGGGGTGGGAAGTTTCCCATCCTGATTCTGGAAATTTGGACAAGGGACTGTAGAGCTGTCAGGTCGTCCTGGCTGTTCCCCCTCATCTCCCAGGATGAGTCCTGGGTCCAGCCCCACCTCCAACCTTGACGCTCAACAGCGTTGACAGGAGATCCCTGACCCTCTTCTACCACGCGGGGGCGGTGTCCCAGGCAATGGGTGCTCGTGCCCAAGTATGCCAGAGAAACGAGAGGCCGGGGGTCGGGGCTCCTGCGCCCCGCTTCCTGGCCGCTGGAGGGCTCTTTCCGCCCCGTCCAGTTCATACTGTCAGCGGCGCAGAGCGGTGCAGGGCGCACTGGGGCTCAGGCAGCCTCAGGCCCGGCCCCGGCGGGGAG